GAGACCAGGGCATGTCCCGGTCCCTGGTACCCCAGCTGGGTGCCCTTCGGTGCAGGGATGTTGGTACCGGGATGTGCAGAAGCTCCTAAAAGGGCTGACTCTTCTGTCTGTCCTGGTACCTTTCAGTCCCACGGGATGCCAATTTCAGGGACTCCCCGGAGGTTTCTGCTGGCGTCATTCAGTCCCGGGGTTCCTCTGGGTGCGTGTGTTCACCTAGGCTTGGGCACATGCGTATGTGGCTTCCCTCCCAGGTACTGACCATGGATACCAGTATGGGATGGCCGCAGAATATTTTGTCTTGGATATTTTTTTATTTACCCACCAAATATGTGCATTCATAGTTGTACGCTACTAGGAGAGCACTGATGTCTCCTTGTAAGCAAGGATTTCACTAGCTGGACACCTTCCTCTGGTCCTTATATGTGGGTTAAAAGCCTGTCTCAGGGAAAATGTGCTGTGTGAAGCCAGCACATGATGGAATTGCACTGAGGCCTCCAGCACACAGCAGCACCATCACCCTTTTGGGCAGGACTGGCTTGGTGAACATCACTGGCATAAAGACAGGGTCTGGCAGACATGCCTCTCTCATGCTCCCTGCCTGTGGGTTGGTAATTATCCCTTTGTAAGCGCCAGTGGGATGGCTGTGCAGCCCAGGGTGGGTGCAAGCAGTGTGACCAAAGCTGGAACTCCAGCCACTGCCCTCACAGGGGTTACCACAGAACTAGGCACACCTCCCTCATTAGCTGCTTGCTTTGTGGGGTAGTGCTGCTAGGTGGCTTGTCATCGCACACAGCTGACCTCCTGTTCCTCTCTCTGGACCCTCTCAGCTAGGCACATTCAAGTCTGATGATGGGGACTATTTTGTAGAGCCACTCCTATCGCTTGAGGAGCAGGAGTATGAAGAAGAGCACAATAAACCACATCTTGTCTACCGACACCGGACACCTCCAACCAACTCTTCAGGGGACTGGCAGACTTGCAATACTCCAGGTACTCATTTTCTTACTGCCTTGGATGACTCAATGCTTGGAAGTGCTATTTGCAGTTAAAAGGCAGTAGGTTTGTGGGGGAAAAAAGAGATGTAGAGTTGAGAGACCCCTCTAGAAATGGTGCTGTGAGTGCTAGGACTGGGCTCGTGGTGGTAGCGCTGTCCTGGAGAGATGTGGTGCACCCGTGCTTTCTAGGAATTGGTTATGAGGAAGTTGCGGTCAGAAAAAAGTTTCCCTTTGATTCCTGAGGTAAAGCTGGCAAGAGAGCTTTTCATCTGTCTTGCCTTAAGTATCCTGTGAGCCCTTAAATTTGTTTTCTGTTCTATCCTACATGTAATTCCCAACCATCCTAATCTAATATACTCTCTGTATGATACTCTGTCCTTTAAATGACATCTGTCTTAGTGTTGGTGTGCTCCTGGTCTTCTTTCCCCAAATCTGGCTGTGAGTTGTCACGCCTTACCTCTTTCTAGTGGAAATGAGGAGGTCCTAACACCAACCCTGACAGTTTTCAGTAATCACTTTACCATGGTTCATTTTCAAAGGCTTTTTTTTCCTCATGGCCCTTCCTCCACCAGCACCATCTCCCTGACCTCCTCACTCCTTCTTTCTAGTCCTTGCACATGTGAAAGAGCACAGACCTTTTTCTCCCGCCCTTCATGTGCCTTGATGAGCAATAACCTTGCTCCTACTGTCCCTATTATCTACAGTGACCTCCTGCTGCTCTCTGCTTCCCTGACTTCCTGATGTTCCCAACTAATCCTCCCCTTTGGCAGCAAATACCTCAATTTTCTCTGATGAAGCTTATTCCTTCAGTCTCCTGTTTCACCTGCTGTTTTGCCCTTGTCCTTTGGCCTGCAGCTAGATCTACAGGAACTTTAGAACCTAAACAGAGTAGACCTTGACTGAGTTCCCTTGTGGGCTGCAAGCTGCTCATATGCTGCAAAGTAGGTGGAGTTGTTCGGGAAGTAAAGGTACCACTGGAGGAGAAGTATGGTGCCCAAGTTAGGCTGCAGTTAGCACACATTACTTGTTTGGCACCCATGACTGTGATCGTGGCTGTGCTGTTGAGCTGTCAGTCTGTTCACCTTGCACTGGTCATGCTGAGTCCAAAGATGCTCTGATACACTGTGACCAGCCAGAGCAACATGTGCTTCTTCTGGAAGACATGTGAATCCACTTCCACATGCAAGCCTATGTGCCAGGGGTACAGTGGCACCTCTCACAAGGCTGTCACTGTTTGTTCTTCCAAGGGTTGCTGCTGGAATATGCCATTCTGGTTTCTCTCTTCCAGCTGTTTCTGCTCCCTTCTATGAGATCAGATGCAGGAGACTCAGAACAGTTGGAAAGAAACACGGAATCTGGCACATTGCATCAGTAACCCTTGGAGGAACGGAGCAGCAGATCACAAGACTCATTGAATCAAAGGTAGCTGGGAGGGCTCTGAATTTTGCTTGTGAACTTGACTCTGTGCTGCTGTAACTGACTGGTGTATTTCACCCCACTGTATCATAGTTCTCATTTAGAATATTATTCTTCTGTATTGTAGTTCACAAGAATGATACTCCATCTGTGATTTTGCTGTATCTCTTCCTCCTTTGTTCCACTATGCTTTGCTTCTTGCTTGTCTTTGTTTTCTTGCTCTTCTCAGTTGCTTCATGTAGTGGAGGGAGGAATTCTCACCTCTCAAACACAAGCTTAAGTGTTCCAGATAGGCATGAGAGTCTTGTCTTCCTGTCCTTTTCCCCTCCATCTTTCCCTCTTTTCCATCTGTTCTTTTTGTCATCATCCAAACTTTTGAAAGGGAGTGATGCTATGGCCATGTGTGTATGGTGAACAAGTCTTGGTTATTTCATTTAAGGAGCAAGTTCAGAGCAGCTTGGGCAATGAAGAACCTTGGCATCCTACCTGAGGTTACATCTGGTGAGAGAAGGTGTCTCACAAGTCTTTACAGCAGAGGTGAATGTGCAAAATCTAGCAGCACTCACTGTTTTAGACAAGGTGTATCTCTCACTCCTGCTAGAGAAGAATGGTTTTGTGAGAGTTTGGGACTTAGTCATAATTGTAGGGTGTTGTGTGAATCCAGTCTTTTGTCAGAAGAATGTGTGAAACGGTGCATTTGCTTTGCAGGCTTCTGGCAGGGGTGGAAATTTGCTTGAAGAGGAAATTCATGGGAGGGAAATCTAAGGTACCCCCCTGAGGTGAGCAAGGGACCCTGTGTTGCCAGGCAGTGGTGCTATTAAGAATGACTTTCTGATAGTCATCTTCCTGGAAATGATTAATAGTCAACATACTGGTGTGCCCTTGCCATAATGATGTAATTTTAAACTTCTTAAGGCATTCAGGAAAGTTTCCCTTGTGAATTGCCTAACAAATTGAGTAAAAGCTTTCATTTGCAGCAGTCTCCCTGGTTGTACTTCTAGTTTTCAGTGTCCTGAGGTCAGCTTAGAAAACCAGGCATTTGCTTTTGTGAAGTTTTAATTAGCAGTCTCTGATAACAGTTTTAGGTCCTCTGATATAAAAGATACTCTGCAGGTGTTCTGGAAAAAGATCTTTTTCCTCTGAATGCTGATGGATATCAAATGGAAGCTGTGCTCTGCAATTGAACTTTCATAGCACAGCACTGGGGTCTCTGGCAATGCATTTGAGCCGTCTGGCATACAGCTCAACTGCTGCAAGAAAAACTTGGGACAGAGTTTTCCTTGGGGTAACAGGTTAATGTAGTTTCAGTCATAGGAAATGGTGCATTTTCCTGTCCTTCTTTTCTTGTAGTCAGTGCCGTGAATCAGTTTGTCATCTGGCCGGGGATCTGGCAGGATAATCAGTTGTGTTTTACTGAATAGCCCTGACGGGATGAGGGCTTGGCCAGGCAGACAGCATGATGTCACTGAGGTGCAGCACCACTACCACCCATCGCTTCAGGATAGCAAGCTCTTCCGACCCAATTATTAAATATCCGCCTTTTTGAGGTGGAGGAGGAAGAGAAAAGAAATTGCAGTCCTAAAAAAAGAAAAGAGGAAGTGGCTCATTGCAAGGCTGGAGAGCGCCGCTTTCCTGCACCCCATGGAGGAACAATCTGACTCCAGTGATAAAGGCACGGAGCTGCATCCTGCATCCGTGTGCCAGCCACCTTCATGAGGCAGGCAGCACCTCCCCAAGCCCCCATCCAGTGGGACCTTCTGCCAGGAGCAGACCCGTGAGCCCTTTCCATGTGAAACTGTCAAGGTTTGGTCTTGCAGAGAGATGTCCAGCTCCAGATGCCAATAGGACACTGCCTTTGGTCATCACTTAAACCACTTCAGGCACCTCTTGCTCTGGGTCTTATGTCCATTTCTGCTGTTTCTCCTTTCTATCATATTTCCCATGCTTTTTGTCAGTGATGTATGTATATATGTATTTCTATGTATATTTCAGTTGTGGAGCTCTCTGGAGCTCTTCTCTTCCAGTTTTGGTAGGGTCTGTCATACCTTTAGCCTTCTACTGAACCTTAGCAATCATTCTTCCTTGGCCACCCCTTATTCTGAAACAGATGTGGCCTCCACCTGCTCGGTTGCACTAAGCCACAATCCCCCTGTGTCTGTGAGTATAATTGCAAGTATTGTGCCCTTTTGTCGCCCTACTTCTGTTGACTGTTCGGCTCTTGCTCCAAACTTTGCAAATTCTGTTCAGCTTTTACTGTGACCCTGATGCAGGACTCCCAACTAAACTTTTTGGGACAGCTTCCTCTTTGTACCCATGATGCCTTAGGTTTTAGCTTTCATAGTTTATATATAGTGAGTGTGAGCTGCTCCCTCCCTGCTGCTGCTCAGCTGTGCCCATCTTGAGGCTGGCATTGGACCTGGGCTCTGGGGCTGCATGTGAGGATCTTGCACAAAGTCTTCTCTCCTTAATGAGAGCATTTAAAGCAGGAACATCCACCACGGGCAAAACTCGTCATGCAGAAGCAGCAATAACACTGTGATGGTGCCAAACTAGTAGGAAGATGATTAGAGCTGTTCCTGTTTCTGGAGGGGAGCCAAGGGGCTGTAGCCAGCAAAGAGGCCTTCCAGCAGTTTGTGCTGAGGTGGTGAGGTTTTGGAAACAGCCTCAGATGAGTGCAGGACAGAGCAGGTCTTACCTGTGCTGTGCTGACTGTGCCCCCACCCACTGCTGGCAGGGGTGGGAAAGCCCAGTGACTCACCTGCTGAGGCTGCTTTCCAAAATCCACCAAGTATTATCAGCACAGATGGCTGTGGGACACAACCTGCAGGCTTAGCATGTCCCAGTACCTGACAGAAATGGATGCAAAAGGGTCTCAAATTTGCTGGTATTTTGTTGGGTGTTACAGCAGTTTGCTGGAGGGTACATGTGGCCAGGCACAGCAGCTCCACAAAGGGAAGCCCCATGTGGTCCAGGTGAGAAGAGAAGGTCTGTGTGTAAGTTGTGCTGAGAAGGGTCCTATAAAAAGCAGAGGAGGAACCAGCAGCGTGAAGCAAGACTTGCTGCTGAGCCAGCATGGCACAGGCGTACTCAGTAATGTGTCACTGATTTTTCAGTTGCATTAACGAGTAATTTGTAATAGATTACCCTTTCATAGTAACTGTAACAACCTTTCCCACTGAACCTGACACTGGGGAACCACCAGGGCAGAGGAGGGCTGCCCTGTGTCTTGAGCAAGCAGATGCCTGATGCTGCCAGCTCAATGATTGTGATCTTATTTCTGCATGATAATTAGCACCAGCCTGCTCTCCTAATGCAGCCAGCTGCATGGGAAGTCACTGGGGAACCAATGGCACAAGCAGGAGATGGTTCTGTCACCATGTTCCCATGTTCTTGGAAGGGCTGCTCAGGTTGAGGTTGCTAGAATGGGGGTTTGTTAGTGTGTTGTCAGTGCCATGACCAGGGAGGAGACCTGGGGAAGGAGATGTTTGCTATCTGGTACTGTGGCTAAAGCCTGACTTTGTAGTGTGGTCTTCATTGGTGCAGGAAGGGGATGAGCTGTTCTTCCTGCTCCAACTGTGG